CTGACAGCCTCTCCATGGTAACAAAGAAATTCCAGAAAGCGTCTAATGGGAAGTCTTGTCTGGCTTCTGAATAATTTTGTCTTTTTCTTGTTCTGGGAGGCTGCCCCTTTTGTGAATTAAATACCAGCATAGCTGCTCAATCCAAGATCGATCGATTTCGATCGATGAAATCGATCGATGAAGGACTCGCAATCGGCTGACCTGCAGCTTCGGCGTTGCTCCAATGGAAGGAATGTACACAAAAAAAAATCCATAATTTTCTTGGACGAAAAAAAAAATTCATACTTTTCTTGGAAATACTTAATGATGGATTATGTCATTTGCCCCTCACTGAAACTGAACAGTGGATTGTTGGATGTCCAATGTTACCTATCTACAATTAGCAATGTTCTGTTACCGATTCAAGAGGGAAGGAAACTTTTGTTCGGTCAGCCTCTTTTATGAAAATATGAAAATAGAATCAGATGAATCCAATGCTTAAATGGATAAAATTAAAGGAAGCAACTGTAATGCAATTAAAGGCGCAATACGTCCCTTATTTTATGGAAAAGAAATGCCATGATAAGAACGAGATCAAATAATAAATACGATAAATAAATATAATATAAATTACGCAGTCGTTTTCATAGATCACTGAAGCCCAACCGACCAACACGAGAAAATTCGTAACGTTTCGATGCGTGACTGTAACGGAACAAAATCCATGTCGTTGGACAGATCTTGGAATGCTCTTTCATATGACATATGAAACGTATTTTTTTATCAGGACCATACTAAAAAAAAAAGTGAGGTCGAAGTTCGCTCAAATCACGAAAATGTAGGATTTTCCACTTTCATTTTCGACATGTGGGGATGGAAAAATCAAAATGATGCATCATCGGGATGGAAAAATCAAAATGATGCATCATCGGGATGGAAAAATCAAAATGATGCATCATTGAGATGGAAAAATCAAAATGATGCATGCATCATAAAACTGGGCCAGAGGTGGACTCTTCGCGCTGCGATTTTGGTTTTGTCACGTTGACTCCCCGCAACAGATAACGGAGTTGTGAGAAATTAGAACGTTTTGAGAAAGGATGTGCAATTCGGGTTTCACGAAACCTCTAGTTCGTGGCGATAATTGGATTCTACTATTTCAGGCCTTTCGTATGAGCTATTTGCAATTGCAATTTGCAATTGCAATTTGCAATTGCAATTTGCAATTTCTAGCTTTCGACTTTCATATTTCGTGTGCCAACGGGAATAAAAAATAACATATTTTGGGGTTTCATTTAAGACCGTTTAACTCTGGAAATTTCCAATTTTTTTCCGAGATGGTCGAGCGCCATCCCTCGGTCAGTTGGCATGGAATTCCCATAAAAACATTTAACATTAATTAAACATTTAATTCGAAAAAAATATGGAAATTATGGATGAACTTATATGCCGAAAATGCAAATTTGCAATTTCGCATTAGGGGAAGAGATTTTCCTGCAATGTTATTTTTATTAATGAGTTTGCACACCGCTGCCGACCGGACTGGGGTCGAGGATTACGACCAAGCTTAGGATTAAACCGCGAGGATGATCGTGATTTCCGGTCGAACGAGAAAAGTGGATGCAATCGACGAGACGACGAAAGCCGACGTTGCATCATGCGACGGCGTCGCGTTATGCACCGCTTGACCCCGTTATGCAGTGCACAATATTTTATCGTGACGATACGGATGAAATACGACTTGGGGTGACTAATCCGGAGATAAGCCGCGTTTGAGATCAATGACCGGCAAAAATCGCAACAATTCCAGGGCCACCCCTCAAAAAAATTTATTATTGAAGCCGCAGGTACTCAACGAGAGCAGACGAATGCGTCTCATTAGACGAAGTACTAATGGAACGAAGTACTAATGAACTACTGGAAGAAATCGGAATGAAAAACTGATGACCGGAGGACGAGTTGATGGCTAAATTGATTATCCGATTTCGTGGCGAAATTTTAAGGCATCACGGTTGTAGCGTTGATGCAGTGAATGATACGTGATGGGGCACACTGGTTATGGCAAGGACTTAAGCTAATTTGATATGCTGCCCCAAAATTTCCCACTGGGTCTGGGGAAGACAGTCGGGAAAAACTGTTTTTGGGGGACAATATTTCACATCGACGAGGACTGATGGATATTTTTTTTGAGATTCGGGTTTTCGAATGAGAAAGGGAAGTATCCTGGTAGTTATTGCCAGCAAGTTGGGATTTCGATGAATTCTGGGCACGGACGGAATGCCTTTTCTAGTTGTCGGTTAGGCGAGAGCCGACCTCAAAGACATTACGGGGGAAAAGCGAAATGGTGCATGGAATTGGAACTTAAGGAATTATATTGAAACTCTGGAGTTGAGGCAATTCATGGTCGATAGTTTGAATCCTAACCTCAGATAATAATAAATATGGAGCCATCAGCTTTCGGAATTTTAAATGTGAAGTACCATAATGTAAGTAACTAACACGTGAAATTAAAAGTGGTACGGGACAAATTTAAGTTAAGTTTCCCACGGTCATCTAAATGAAAGCAGTTAGTGGATGGATTGGACAGAGGGAAGGCTTTATATGATGGAAAAGGAGCAAAAAATACTTTAAAAATGTTGATTGATTCAAGGCGTTACTCAAAAGATTGTGAGCGAGGAGTCCCATATTGCTGAAAAGGTGCACATGTTTAATATGTTCCCCCAAGAAGGGAAGTACTGTATATTCAATGGTTACCTTCTCACAATTTTTGTGGGGGTTTTAAAGACAAATCTCATTTAACCTTTGTAGGCTGAAAGTAGACTTACCGCTAAATGTCAATTGCCAGAATTGTTTTTGTAAGTATGGTTTTTATTTCATTGTTTTACCATCAATAACTTATGAGGAATTGAATTGTCCCCGAAAGCTTGCATCTCCCATTTAAATACCCACAGTTAAATATCGGCCGTGAAGCAACACAGAAGCATTTAAATGCCGTACGATGAAGGTTAAACTTCGTAAGCCATGAAGAGTCATGATGAAAAACCAATTCTTTGCCTCAAAAAAATAATCACAATGAAGTGTTTTTTTTTTGTATTACCACAAATTCACAAGTAATGTCTTCTCAAACATAATTCAGGAGCATTTTGCTCAAGTGGTGCATGAAAAGGACTGAATAGTGCAGTGGGAAAGCAGATCAATCCCTTGTTTTATTCTGACTCATCACTGCTGATCTAACAACATATTTGGCATTTATTCAACCAAGGAAAGGTGAAATAATTCAGAATTTCCATTGAGAACCAATCAATTTCAGAAGACCACATAGTAATGCCCTGAAACATCAAACAAGGTATTCATGGAGCTAGTGAAACCCACAATGCCCACTCGAACGGCATATAAGTTTATGACGGCCGTCGATGCACGGCAACGAGAGCATCTCAATACATGTATGAGCCCCGTGGGTTTCCACGGAAGCCACGGGAACCTCCACGAAAATTCCCACCTTGATATCCTCCAAATCCATATCCTCCCCTTCCTCCACCCCGGCTGTTATACCCTGAAATAGAGACACTCTCTCTTCATGCCTCATTCCTATAAATTTCATTTAGTAGTGTTCTAAAAAAGAAGCTTTCTGTCAAAATCTGTGATTAGATTAATGACTGCAAATGGGGAAGGTGAATTGCTCTGTTGGTAACAAGCAAGGCTCCTGTGGCAAGGGATCAGGATTTTAAACCAACAGAGGCATTTTTGGCACATTTCAGAATGAATATTCTGGGGGGTTTTGGGAAGGGTTACCCTGAGCACATGGCACTCAAATCTTCAGATGCACAATGTAAAAGAACCCTAGAGTATCTATGCTGGCTGTAATGAGCATGCCTATGTGATCTGGGACTATGGGGGAAGGCAGTTTGAGGTTAGAGGTGTGAGTGAATTCTTGAACTTGGAGCATTATATTTTGGTGATACTTCACATATTCTTCAGCTTCATATTTTTATATAACCAGTAGCAATTGAGATTCTATTCACTCTTGGATGACATGACATGACACAGAGCAGTATAGGGGACTCACCATCTTGATGGGAGAATGGGGGCCTAGAGAAAGGTGGTCGAGGTCCCCCTGCTCCTCCACCGAATCCCCCTCTAGGTCCTCCAAATCCTCCTCTGGGTCCTCCGAATTCACCTCTGGGTCCTCCAAATCCACCTCTGGGTCCTCCAAATCCACCTCTGGGTCCTCCAAATCCTCCTCTGTGTCCTTCAAATCCCCCTCTAGGACCTCCAAATCCTCCTCGGGATCCATCAAATCCCCCACCGTCAAAGCGACCACGTTTAGCAGGTGGACCATCAGGAAACATAGATCCACGAGGTGGACGATGGGACTGGACACTGCACCATAATGTCCAACATTAGAGTAAGTCCCTTTGGAATTTCACTAAGCATTTCTGAAACCCTCAATACTTCAGTTCAAGAGAGTGAATATGTAGAAATGAGATTTGGAAAATGAGAGTTAGGTGCCAATAATAAACTCAGTATAAAGTTCTCTCAATTCTTGTTTCATAGTTGTGAAAGAGTTAATGAGCTGATGAGTGCTTGGAAATTATAAATGGGACATCTACATCATTTATTTAAAAAAACTGAAGAACTAACACTCCACCATGATGTGTGTCACCTTTGTCTACTTTCTATTGCAGCTCCAGAAGTTTTAGGTAATGATGACATTCAATTGCTCCTGTCATGACATTGGAAAAGCCTTGGCATTTAATGAGCCACTGCAGTAGGCAGATGAAATTTGAACATTGTCTCTGCATTACAAAATAAATTGGAATTGAGTTTCTGATAGTCATTAATTTCAACACAACAAGGCTGTCTGCCACATGGAATTTCCTTGCCCATTATCAGCCCTGACCTTGAGAAATTCCAACTGAGTTTATTTTTTTTATTGGATAGACTATATGCCATAGCCCTGCAAGGTGTGCCTTTTGGCTGTACAATCAACTGGGAAGCCAAGGAGATAAGACCACTCACCCAGTAAGAGTGACAGGTTCCATTTCGTGTCGACCTGCATTGAGCTTGCACAGCTGTCTGATGACATTGATGGCTTTGTTCTCTTGATGTGAAGGTTCTGAGATCTGTTCTGGAGCAGTGGCTGCACTCACCACCAGGCTCTCCAGGACTGGTCTGAGAGAGACCACCAGGGCTGCATGTCTCACATCCATCTTCAGTGGAATCCTACATATGCAAGAAAAACAAAACATCACATGCCGGAGCTACCAGAATATTGAAGGAGTATTTTCTTACACAACCATAAGACACATAATTATTTGGAAATGAGAAGCCTTCCTATTACTCTTCCTAGCTTAATGTGCTTGACCAGTATTAGAATATGATACACAGGGAGGCACTGTTATTTATTTACTTAACATGATGGAGAGGGCATCAAGATCAAATATGAAAGACCCAGTTCTTTGGCAGTGAAACTTATATGGACAAGAACCAAAGGCAGAATAAGGTCATGAGAGATGGTGGCATTAGAATTCTCTTTAAACATTCCTCTCAGTTGAAACCAAAGTTTCCAAAAGACACACTGAAAGAAATATTACATCATGTCTCATGTCTATCAGCAAAAACTGCCAAATGTCTCCAGGGCATACTTGGAAGTTTTTTTTGCAATTTTATGGGCCTGACTGTGTTTTGTAGAATATGTGCTACATACTGCATTGATATTTTATAACACTATGCTATAGAGATATTGTCAAACCTGATATTATACCATTTCAATAACTAGCAAATAGGATGAATATGCAATTTTTGAAATGTTACAGAAGGGCAAGAGACAGCCTTTTTTATTTTTAGACTGGAGAATGAGAATTGAGGAGGGCTTAACTGTTTACCAGGAAGCTAAGAGTCAATGCTCTCTTGAGGAAAGGCAAACATTCTTTACTTATTATTCAGAATTAAAAAAAAGGCTAATTCTTGCTCTTCTTGAAACATTAAAATTGGTTATTCACCTCTTGTCATAGCATGGACAAATTCTGCTACAGTACCTTGATAGTTCAATGCTCAAGAGTCAATGTTAACCTATTTCTCATAACAGTAAATGCCAACGAGGCATTGACAGTTTTTTTCCCCACATAAAAAACCATGCAGTAAGGTATTAAGGATGGAAAAAACCAAGTGAACAAAAGCATAAACGAGTGAAGTGCTTTGATTTGTACTTACTTCACTGTTCCTGCATGAAAAAAAAAACTTAATATAAAAAAATAGCTATTTTGCATTTCAATGGTTATGCCACTGCTAATTGAGTGACAATAGCTGCACACAGGGTAGCATGCATGGAGCAGGGTAGCAACATAGCAACATAAATTGGATGATGTATGATAGGCATTTATAAATGATAACGCCAAGAAAACAAGGTCATAAAATGGGTTTAAGCCCATTTATGACCTTGTTTAGCCATAAGACTCTCTGATGATAAAATAAAAATGTGATTTAAGGAAACAACCTGATGTAACAAATGACATTTAGTGACTTTTTCAACTTCCTTACTGCTATAATGAGTTCCAACAGCACTTGACTATGAAGAAGCTAGAAAACAAGTGACTCTTTTGATTTAATTTAGATATGGAACCTTACCAGTTATCCAAACGGATGGTGAAGTCAGGCATAACCTCAACCTTCCGACAGCCAAAGAGGAGAAGGTGAAGCGGAGTGCACATGGTCATCTGCTTACATGATACAGCTCTTGTCCTCAACTTCTCCCCAAACACAAAGAAGGGGAATGGGAAGGAGATCTCAAAATTGCTGCAGTTCACTGAGGACTTGTTCACCAGAGCTGAGCTAGAGTCAGTTGTCAGCACCTGGCAATGAAAAGATTGCATCATTTATAGCAAAATTTTTTGCAAGCATGGAATTGTTGCATGTACTAAATTACCTGCTCATGAGAATCAGTTTTTCCTTACTGTAAACCTTCAACAACAAACTCAGGAGACTACTAGTCAGAACAGTGCTAAACAAAATTTGTACACATTTCCACACCAACATAAATAGCCCAATTATCATGTTATTCATGTCCAAGAAGATTCATATACTATAAGTGTAATTTTTTTGTTATTATGCTATCTTTTTTTTATATGACCCCCAATCCTAAACAAACCTACAAATACATACCTTTCGTTTTTCTTTATGGTAGCAAATATTGGGGTAATGGCCCATGACAAGGAGAGCAACAACAAGATCAAGCTTGTTATCAGGACCCTGAAAGTTATATACTTGCTCACACACACATTCTTCTGGAAAACCACACTGTGTCAACAGTTCCCGCAGCTGATTCTGAAACAGAACAATACATGGTGAATGAATTGATTTTAAATAAAGAGAAAATTCTCTATGCAATAATTTTGGCATCCTAGACCAATTAAATTCTTGAGGACATCATTAAAAATGGGTATGCTACCATCCTGAAGATAACTGCAATTAAAAATAGTTTTAAGAGAGAGCATATCCCATGAACTAAGAACTTAGAGGAAGTGCAAAAGACCTTTCTTGCAGCTGTATGTAAAACAATCAAAAGTGCATTTATTACAGTTTGGAGGACCTACCTTTGCTTCCCAAGTGACACGGAGTGTGGGCAAGGCAAGTCCCTTGCTCTCACAAAAGCGCACTTCAGCTTCCTCTCCTCCTTGGCGGGCATCCTCCCATGCTTGGAAGGCATTGAGGAGACAGAGATGATCTGAACATCTTGTCCCTGCAAACGCTTTCTGACGATATGTCAGCCGACGTTGACCAACCTCTGTCACATAGCAACACCATAGAGATTAGTTTGGTCATGCCACCTCACAATTTATTATGACAGGCAGAGATGAAGGACACTTTATGAAATGATACAACATTGCTGTAGATTTTTTGTTTCAATTCTGTTTTGAAACTCTGGCTTACATAGCCTCTAAAACACTAATGGTTAGAAAAAATGCATACATATCCAAGAAAGTACCATATAAGTTGTCTGTGCCCAAGAAAACATGAGCGAATATACTCAGCAAAAAAGCTACCTAATAACAACCACTTGAGTACACCTTTTGATTTAAGTCTAATACTTGTCCTGGGCACATAGAAGAATTGCAAAACAACATCTTTCGATTACTAAAATAGGCTAACAGAAACTGACCCAAGGCAATATATAGCTTCAGGTAAACCTGATAAGATGAGATCATTCATGGCAACAGGGGCATACTCACATCCATGGACATGGTTAACACATTATGTGCCAAGATGGTGAACATTTTCCTTAGATGCAGTCACATTAAAAGAAAATATTTGATCTTTAGAGCCACAGATCAACCAGAGAATATGATGCTTCACTTCTTTAACCCTTTCGTGCATGGTGTCCACTGCAGTGGATGGCAAAATTTTTGGCAATAATTATGAGTTTCCAGCTATGGTACTCATACCTCGAAACTTTTGGTGCGTGTAGTCAACTCAAAGGCACATAATCTGTTCAGTGTCTGTTTCTAGCAGTAGAAGATTCGATTACTATGGCAGAGTACCTTCTTAAACGTTAAACCATAAAGGGCATATTTTTATTTTGCTTTAAAAATTCATGCACGAAAGGGTTAATTCCCTTGATGGGAGTTGACATTTAAAGTCAATAATTCTGCAATGAAATGAATAGCTTTACTTTGAACAAGGTTGTAAACAAAATCACCAGAGCACATCCATGTGCATACAGTATAAAAATAAATAAGATAAGAGAAAGTTCTTATCAGAACATGCAACTGTAGGAGAAAGAGATGCAGAGACATACAAAAAAGACCAACCCATCAAGAAAATGTCAGGGAATGTGGAGCTATGAGCAGCCACAGTGCACATGGCATCCCCAATGCCAAACATGCAGCCAAGGATGGTCATCTTTCCCAGACGTGGCTCTATTGGCAATCTGGCCAGGATTCGCCCAAGTGGGGTCAGCTCATCGTTCTTATCCAAAGCTCGCATCTCTGCAAGAAAGAGGAAGGAAAAAGATTTTAAAATGTTGTAACTCAATGCTTTCTCTGAAGAAGGATCTTTACTATGACATTTTTTCCTCACTTTCTCTTATTTCATCATTTACCAACAGTGAAAAAAAATGTAATACAGATAATCTCATATATCTAGAAATTCTGCTTCTCACATTTTTATTTTACTAATGAGTGCAGGATTCCACTGGTCCCCTTTATTACAGAGGTCAAGAGGTGAAGAATACTTGTCCCAGTCTCAAACAATATAACAAGGCCCCTGTTGCCCACAGATATCGTAAATGAACAGATCTACGAAAAGAAACCTCAGGACTCAAACACCATATCAGCCTACCTCTCAGAGTGACTTCTGCTTCAATGACTGCATCAATAGGAGGAGGCTGCATAGCTTTACTGAGGAACGTTCCAATCCCACCCAAGCGCAACAGTTTGATTGCTAAGCCAATCTCATGAAGAGGAGTCCTGAAGATCTCTGGAGTCATGTGTTCTTCAAGCTTGGCAAAACGGGCCTGAAAAAGCAGAAACAGCAGCTTAGTTAAATGGAAGGGGAAGGGATAAATAAGAAAAAATGGTACTCTGCATGAAGCAAGCATCAAATACTAAATAAGACCTAATTGACGAAGTGAATACCCGGCTGCAGAGTCGGAAGCAGAAGCCAGGCCGCACCCGACCGGCACGACCTTTTCGCTGTTCCAAATTTGACTTTGAAGCCCAGACAGTGGCATAATTTGTCATATTGTTGTGGGAGGTGAACAGTTTCATCTTTGCCTTGCAGATGTCAATGACAAACACGACATCATTGATGGTGACCGATGTCTCAGCAATGTTAGTTGACAGGATGATCTGTTAACATAAATGATTGTGAAATATGACAAGAGAAACAGAGGAAGTGAGTAAGAAAAAACTCTCCTAACCTTGGTGACACCAGGGGGAACAGGTTCAAAAACTCTCCTCTGATCTTCTCTTGGTATTTGAGAGTGAAGGGGCAGGATTTGAAAAGCAGAACCACCAAAGACAGGATGTTGATTGAAATGTCGCATCATGGCAAATATGACATTCCAACCAGGCAGGAAAATCAAGACAGCTCCATCCACATTCAGGTCTCGGATGTATTTTAGCAGGGCCTACAGAAGTATTGGAGGAAAAAGTGAAATGGAAGAGTCAGAGAAATTTTACAGGTTATATCATAGAATCCATTGCACAAAATGACAAGTCTCCCTTCCTGTATCAAGAAAAAATAAATTTAAATGAATGCAAAAGCAGTGAGATTGGAAAATAATTACTGCAGTCCTGAGGATCTCTGAAGAATACACCTCCTCTTGGAAAAAAATTATTGCATTATTGAAACCATAGAAAATCTATGGATGAGCATTGTCATTGAAAACTGATCAACTGCTCTTGAAATGCATAATTTCAATGCACTTTCATCATATGATGACTCCAGATAGCTTATGTTATATGATATATAGCAATTCATGAAAATGTGCATGAATTCTGGATTTCCTAACATCAGGGGTTAAATAGTAATTGCTAGGAACAATAACTGTTTCATTTGGACAAAAGGTAAAAGTCCCCTCAAGATAAATACAGCTCCATTCTGGGACTGCACTACACAATTTCCCAAAAATTATAGCAGGTTGTACAAATGGGAAACATGGGGACATGACAATGACAAGCCTGGAGAATAACAAAAGAGATTACTTTTTACTAAAAAATAAAAGAGGAATACACTTACTTCCACAAGTTCAAAGCTAATGTCCTTCTCAGATAGTCCACCCATAGCTGCTTTGGTAGCTGGAGAATACTGATCACCACAGGCCAAGTTAAGATTCTCTTCATCCAAAGTCTCCTCATCACCCTCCTTATCCTTCCCTGACTTCCTCTTCCTCCCATCAATTGGGGGTTGAAAGGATGTTAGATGAATGCAATCCTCCAAGAAATACTCTGTTGGCATAACCAGAATTTCTTTGTAGCCAGGCATCCTAAAGGAATACAGCACTATGCTCATGCAGCTGACCTTGAACTGGATAGGAGGTGCCTGGGATCTCAAGGATGGGGCAGTTCCCAAAATATTCTGAGAAGAGTTTGGTGTCAACAGTAGCAGACATGAGGACGATGCGCAGATCAGGATATGCTTGTACCATGTCACGGAGGACAACAAGAATGAAGTCTGTGTTAAGATCTCGCTCATGGATCTCATCTACGATCACATGTGAAACACCCCGAAGTCCATTCTCCAGCTTCCTCAGCAAAACACCTTTAGGAGCAAGACTTCCTTGACAAATAATTTCAGCAACTGAACATATAGACAACAGAAGCTAACATGAGAAGATAAGTAAGTTACACTCACATTGAATGTAGAATACAACCTTACAAATAAAAAATTTCAGCCACTCCAACTCATTTTCCAGTACTGAGGCAGTGTCTGCCTCAAATTATACCCTCACTTCATGTTATAACTAAAACACACCAAGTGATGTGAAAAAATTAGCTCTACAATATGTCTTATAGTAAATTAAAATATAACTTTATTATTAGAGGCTAGTTTCATACAGCCCTTAAGGGCATTGTGGGTCTCCTTTCTTAGGGAGAGACCTATTCAGAGGAAAATTGCCAAGCATCCAATAAGGAGACATCTTCAAATAAATTTCAATAGGAAACCTATTGTCCCTCACTTTGATAGTCATCAAATGAACTCATATTTGGTTCATTCTAGCTTCCTCATACCCTCATACATTGGAAACAGTACCTGGAGTTCATCTTCTCCCCTGCAAAAGGGACAGGTAATCCTACTCACCTCTTTGTTTTTCTGCAGGGTCAGCCATTTCCATGCTCAAATCCTAAAATAGGCTAGTTGTGATCTGATAAACTTTGTATAACCTTGCTGGATGTATCTTTCCTGTCTTCCATCATTTCTCAGTATAGTAACAGGGAGTACCTCATCCAACACCTATGGCTATTTTTTCCTGTGCATCTATTTACACCAAGTGATTCTCAAGCTCTGTTTAAACCAATGCCTCCCAGATCCAGCTCTCCAGAGGAATGAGAAGCCCTGAGCATCGAGTTTTTCAATCTTCATTTCCCTATGTGTCAACTCAGAACTGATGTACCCAATTCATTAGCAGTCTCATGCCTTAAAGTAAATGTATTGCAGCAAACTCTTAAAATACAATTTCCTAGCCAATGACTCCCTTCTTGAACTGAAGATCAAATGAAGTTGCAGATGTGTGCTTCTTCACAAATATATGAGATTCAAAATATAAAAACCACAAGAACAAAAAAACCTTGGTACTGAACCTACTTGAGATACCCATGCTAAAAATTTTAAATATCAAAGTGCCAGTTTTGAAGAAAGAACTTATGCATCCTCATACTGAAGTTGGATATATCTAGTTTCTTTACCTGGAATGAAAGAAGGAATGAAAAACATTTTAATTAGAACTGAGAAGAGTTCTCATTATCATACTTAGCACCAATCCTGCCCCCCAGCTGATTACATGATAAGGAATAGAGAGGAAAACTACATTGCTCATTCTCAGTTGCCTTGTCAACAAAGTGATTTCTGGCTCTTCATATTTTTAACTTAAAAAAATGTATAATTGCTACATCCCAAGTGGGACCATCAAAACTTGAAGGAGATGATAAAATCAAGTACACTTCATAAAAAGGGTGCATTGAAATGCAGCTATATGAATCTTTAATAATATAATAAAATTCCAGTACAAAGAAATGATTCTTGCAGCTTTTCCAACATCATTATAATTAATGATTGCTATTGCTTCACAAAAACCAAGATAACACTTCAATGCCAGAAACCACCAAAAGTGAAGAAACTTATAATAGCTCCTAATGCTAAAACAAGCAGGGACATAAACCTCCTGCACAAGCCATGCAAATTAAAGTTATTGTGCTAGATGTATGACCATTCTTTCAGCCTTAAATAATGCAACATGTCCTTGAATACTGATGGTTCTCTTGATGTATGCCACACTGGTAAAAAAAAGGCATGGCAATGGAGTGAACATACATATGGCTAATAACTCACCAATGGTGCAATACAGAATGCTCCCATAGGGTCTGGGCAGACAGGATTCAAAGCGGACACTGTAACCCACACTCACACCAAGCTGCTCTGACCTCTCAGTTGCAACACGATCAGCCACAGAAACAGCTGAGATGCGTCGGGGTTGAGTTACAAAAATGCTACAGTGAGATCCTTGTTCACTCAAAAGATGATCATCCATAATGTACTGAGGGATCTGCAACAAAATAACATCCAAAACACATTGGCAAGAAAGCAGGAAAGGTAATATCTCCTCTTGCAGAAACCTTTTCCTCCCCCTTTCTTATTCCACTTTTCAGATATTTTAAATCCCTCTACAGTTCTGCAAGTGTGTAAATTTCACTGGATAAGGATTTAACTTGCAGCTCCTCTAAACGGTGTCCAAAAAGTCACTGCACCCAGTTCACCATTTTGTAAGTACCACGTGCATTGACTTTTGGGACACCCTGTACTTCATTTATTACTGGTAGGGATGCTACATAAAGGAGCTGCAAGGGTCAGGCAATGAAAGGAAGAAAAAGCAACAGGAGATAGTGTTTTTTGAGGTTCAAAGCAAAAAAGCAACTATCAATTACAAAACGTACCTGAGTGGTCTTCCCACAACCAGTGTGTCCCTTGATGAGCACAACAGGGTTATTATAGATAATGTCCAGAACCTGCTGCTTCATAGCAAAGACAGGCAGTTTCTCTCTGTCCAACCTCATTTCCTGGTAATGGGTATCCATCTTTTGAAGGTCCTGAAAACCCTCCCGAAGGTCAGCAGCTATTTGGGTCATTGATGCCTAGGAAACACATAACCATGCAGTCAGTGGGGTTTTGCATCCCTTTTGGTCCTCAATCTACAATAGATAAAATAAGGAAGGTCTCACATGAGCAAGAGGACCCTCATCAATGTTGCATCCAGTCCATGGATTCCAGTTTGGCATTGGAGGAGACCATGACACAATTCCAGCAGGAGATGGGTGTGAGGATGCTTCAAAATCTGCCAGTCGAGTATCAGTGACAATTGAGAATGGCTCCACCAATTCCTTCGGCTGAAAACAAAGATTTCCAAAATAGATTTTTGGTCTACTGAGTAGTGCACAATGAAACCTGAACCAATTTCATATATTGGCAAGGTTGCAGGGACACAATTCATTTGTCAATGATGGAAAATGAATCGCTAGGCATTGTTCTCTACCTGTGTGTAGAAGTAACCATCACCAGTCATCAATCTCCTTTAATCATATTTACTCAGAACAAAAATTATGCTATGATGGCATTTTCCATTAAGAAGCAGAAATAGTTTAAGTTACAGTGACTATCAACAGGCCCGAGAAGGTGAATCATACCTTGCAAGTAGAAAGCACACACTTTTTAAGTAACAATAGAGCTTCCAAGTATACATGTTTAGTTTAGAGGCAAAGAGCAATTACCCTGGGTTCATAATTTCATCTATGATAGGGACATACCAAATTAATTAGAGCAAATGCATTACAAATACCTTCATTCCAAGTACTCAAATTTGTCTTCTGCATCAACACATTTCTTGTATTAGTCAGGAACATGGGAACTACATCATTCCACAGATATAATTGTCTACCTTGAATTCCTGAACATTTATTGCCTGCGAGTGAGCATGTTTTAGTTGTTTACAGCCATAAGCACAATCCTTTAGATTGGCTCCTTGGAGGCCACTTAATTGCCCCTCTGCCACCAATCCAATATGTCTGGAGACCCTTGCATCATACAGGGCAGGCCACAAAATGATGACAGTTTGTCATCATACTCATAGAGAAGACTGCTGCATAACCTGTGACTGGGAATTGCAATAGGACCTGGAAAAACTGTCAAGTGCATGTTTGGACATGGAGGGTAAGGAACGTTTGACACTGCAGCAAATGAGTAAATTTGTACTCTGGACATGATTCTATGGAGTGACAAAAAAAGTGTGACTCTTTGTGACTTCAAAGCCTTTTTTGGGAAAAGATGGGTTCCAAGGAGGAACACTACCTTGCACAATTTGAACAAGAGGGGACTATGCAAGAATGAAAACTATAATAAAGGTGCAGGATAGTGTTCCTGCTTGAAGCCCATCTTATCCCAAAAAAAAAGCTTTGAACTGTCTTTGCAAAACAGTCACACTTTGTGTCACTGTACAACAGCACAATTTTGTTCTTTTGCTAGTGTCATATGTTCCCTATCCTACATGTCCAAACATACACTCAATAGTTTTTCCAGGTCCGATTACAGCTCCCTGTCATGGGCACATGTCTCCACTGTGAGTCAACATATAACAAAAGAAAAACCATAATTTTGTGGCCCACCCTGTACCATTGGCACATATCACTAAGATACTGAGTGGGTGCACCATTTGACCAACAAAACATCTCATTTGCAAGATAATCATGATCCAAGGGGGGTCAGATGGGATCAATGAGCATTGCAAAATATCCTGTTCCTGCTTCTGCCTCATTGAAAAAGAAAAGCCCAACAATCCCATGTGACCACCCACCAGCCCCAACACCAAGATATTGTTAGGCTCCTGTTCAATAGTTGGAAAAGGGTTTTCGCATTTCATACAACCTTTGGAAAATAATATATACTAGCACCACCCAGCATAAGTCCTTATAAAGGAGTTAAACATTCCCCTGTCCACTGAAATATCTTATGCTGGATCTATAGAAGCCACTTTTCTGACATACAGGCCACTGTTAAGATTTTTGTAGTATATTATTGCTGAACTCACAACATCGATAGGCTTCAGGTCAACATCCTGCAGAACAGACTCAATCTGTGATACAAGATCAGGGGCAATTGCCAAGTTGTATGGTGGGATTTGATTTGCCTCCTTCTTCTTTGAAGAAGCCAGGGTACCAGTGAATGCTTCAAGAACATTCAAGTGATACAGTTGCCGTACAATTGAAAGGGCACAGCTCTTTGAGGCTGACTGCTTGTTTGAGCCAGTCTCACGAGCATAAACATCTGAAATACATGAAGAGAAAAGACAAATGAAAAGAAGTAAAAAGGAAACCAAAGTGAAATATATTCACAGATGCAAAAAGACCTCAATTTAAAGGATTCAAATTTTAATCTAAGCAGCCAACAATTCATAGCTGGAATTTTATGTTTTTGACACAACTCACAAGGCTGGTATATTCCAGATGGAGTATTTATAAAATATTATAGTCACCCAATAATGTAAAATAAACCAAATTTGAGAATTTCAGGAATAAAAAAAAAACAAGAAAAATAACCCCTTCTTATTAATGTCCCATTATTCAAAGGCAATTTTTTAAATTAAAAAACCTATGCATTTTCTCTCCCACTCTTACTTCCAGATCAAAAGAGCAAAAGACACATATAAATATATTTCTATCTGCATGACCAAGCAAAGTCTCCTGGGAATATTAACAGGAACAAAAAATGCACTATTGGCAAAACTGAGCTAATCCAGTTCTACTGAAATTATCAAGATAAACCAAAATATCACCCATCACCAGTCTCCCTAAGCATGCCTGATGTAGGCATTGAAAATTCTAATGGAATACTCTAGCATACTAGCAATTCAAAAATGTTTCACACAGAACAAGCCTGATTCAATGGTTCTACTCCATTGACTTTGTAGTTATGGTAAGGAACTAGCAAGAGTACATCAAAGTCACTCATAAGATGCTGCAAATAGTAAAGATGAATATTGACCTGCTTATTCCTGCCAGCACCATAGTTCAGCCATGAAAAAAAAAACATTTAATTAAATAAATATTAAACCCTCTCTTATAATATCAGAAAAGTCAGATCTATACCATATCTGTGATGGCACTATTTTATAGGTAAGATTATTTGGTCAACCGAAAATATAATATACATTTGTCCTAGCAAGTTTTCATCATGCATCAAAGTCATGCCAAGATTTCCTACTTCTACCGAGTCTGGAAATAATAGGAAATAGTACAATGAAACTAATACATGGATAATTTTATGGTAATAAATATGCCAAATTTACCTTTGTTAAATATATTCTCATTTTTAATGAATACCAATGGCTGCATGACTAAATGTGATACATGAAAAAACTAACCTTGTAGATAGAACCACTCATACAAAAAATTACAAGTCATTCATCTGTTCTAAACATGCTATCCAAGGATTGGATACGCAAGCGAACCCCAGATTCTCAATCAGCACAAAGATTAACGGCTACAGACACAATAGGACATTGCTATCGTAATTACAACAGTCACAGAAAAAAAATGTAATTGCCACGAAAGTCATGATTTCTACATTTTGAAAAATGATCATTTTTACAACAATCTGAATTTGAGACCTGAGCTCACCTCTTCCCAGCTCCTTCACATAGAAGCTCATTTCTGCTGCAAAGCTCCTGTGAGGAAAAGAGAAAAGTTACGTCATGAATGGTTATTTCATGTATGATGTACAAAAGCTCGAGAAACATGCATGAAAAGTACACTTTTGAGAGTACATTTGGAAAATATGTTTCATGCTTAGATGCTTCTAATGCTTAAACACTGAGCAACTTTTGACAGAGATTGCCTAGGCTTGAAAATAAAATCCAATTTGGCAGCATTCCGTATAAAAGGACTCCTGAAATGAGGAGTCACTTTTAAGCATCATGGTAAGTCATTAGTATTCTGAAAGTATATCATTATGTAACTTCAAGGAAAATGCAAGAATTGCATACCAATCCAGAAGTGGGGTCCAGATGATGCCATGCTACCAAGCAGGTATCTTCAACTCATGCCCTCAGATGCAATGCAAACAGTAAAGATCTGAAAACAAGACAATGTCAGCTCAGTCTCCTCTGGGCTTTGCTCCTCTTTTCTCATTTTCAGGACTAACACCATGAATTCTACACAGAATGAATCATGGCATGGTGGACTAGATCACATTAGATGAGGTGATGTGATATAGGCCTCCATCCATGAATCATGGGTTTAAGTTTCAACCTTGATTATTTTCATTTGCCAAAGGATGACTGAACTGACATGTCTCATCTATCACTCTTCTCAGGAGTTTAAGAGTGTCTTCTCAGGAGTGTCCTCACTTAGGTGCTGCAAATTCCCTCTGACAACGAATGAAGTAAACTCTTCTTCATTCTTTCCCTTGAATCCAGTACTTTAGAGGAAAATGACAGCTCCAGTGCTGCTCGAAATCAAGCAAGACTTCAAAAATGGGGGCAGTGCAAAGTGCATGTATCTGAGGACATGAGCCTAGTTTTCCATTTCAGGTTGGTCATTTTTCTCAAAAGATTCCCATCATTTCTGTATTACTGAAATCTAATGAGAAGAGACAATGGTGGGATGCATGGCATGCAGGTCTTCCTAGATCCAGGATGATCTGCTATGCCAGGACTTCACTATTGCCATGAAAGGATCATCCTCAAGTTTTTGCTAATTTAAAACTATGAACAGAAACTGCACATTTTCTGAACTCGACCACTTCCACATGATGTGGCTTGCCCAGTAACAGAGTTCTCTAAAGTAGGTACTTATCTCTTTCGTAGGTCAAGTCTCAAGCAAAGCACTTCCACTCGTTCTCTTCACTCTGAAGGTCTAAAAGTCCTCATGACTTTCATATGACAAGGTGTGGTGGTCTAGAAAACATTAGCTGAAGAAATGTGATCTAGACCTCCTTCCAACACCATTCATGAATTCTAGAGACACCTTTGTTTATTTTCATTCTGTGTAATCTTGTCATGGACTCAAACCTTAGTCAAGTAGCAAGCCAAGAACCTGGACAAAGGCAAGAGCAGCTGAGACAGTGCTACCAACATAAATGGGGTCTTTGAATCCAACCATTGAGAAACACCTTGGTTTTCAAGGGTCAAAATAGAAAAGCTAGTCAAAATGTTATTTTTCCTTCCTCAAGATTCTTCTCAAGATTCACCATGGCTGTATATGAATGCCCCACTTCACATTTTTATGTGTTCAGGCTTGACAAAGACAGGGATTTCCTAGTGTGTAAATTATGGCTTCTCCATCAATCAGTATCATGGACTTCTTCACCACTTTGGCATGTAAGGCATGCCAATGTTCCAATTTTAGCACAGCCTGCATCAAACTATCCTGTATCCATAGTGTAGATATGATAACTTATATAGAAATTATCCCTTTTCTCTGATATCCTATGTAGAAGATTCCATCCACAGGTGCATGGAAATGATGATCATGTGAGCATGAGATCCAACTTCTGAAAATTCTCATGTCTTCACTTTTCTAAGCTGAAACAAATGCAACTGTTACTGCCAGGGCATTCTGGAGAGTAAAGAGGGTACAGAAAAGGAATCCTTCCCTCAATTACCAGGGGCATGCACTCTGTGATGACTGAACATTCAGACTGTCATCACAAGCACAAGAAAGGAACATCAATTTTGTGATTCAAGTGAATAAGAAATCACTCAATTGTCGTCACAGTTATGAAGGTTGGCCATCGTGGAAGTTTAACTTTCCTCAAACATTTGAAGAGATGTTTTCTTCCATTATGAATACAATTTAATTGTCTATCAGCTTACAACAGGGAAAAATTATGCACCACCCTCCATGCTGAGATCAGTTCTGTAAGCAGAGCAAAGTCTTTCATAGGAGTGACTGGAACCATCAAAACTATCAAAAAGAGGTTGAATACGTTCCTAAAACATACAAGATACACCTCAGATGGGGCCAACAGAAAGAAATAAATAGATAAAATGAAAATAGCCACAGGAAAACACAAGTGGCATATTCCAAAACCTTGTAGGAATATATCTAAAGGAGGTCCTGAGCAGGATGTCCTGCTGATTACACACACCTAAGTCAGTGATAAGACAGAGATGTTGATGAAGACCTTGGACCAATGGTAAAAACTAGCAGTTGATGAGCAGCACAAGGCAAATGTTCACATTTGCAACTCAGAGCCAGCACTGCAACACATATGACACATTAGTCTCACATACTACTTATGTAGTGTATAAAAAAAAAACCAGGATACTTGAAGCATTCATTTGGACATCCTCTGCTGTCAGGGGCGAAATTGCCTTCCCATGATGAAATCACTGGCACCTCAGAATATCCACAGTTATGCATCACATAAAAGAAGGGATACCTCCCTATTAGGATAAAGTAACTAGAGGCAACATCTCCAAGGACCCTAATAAATGACAGATTCTATTTTTTTTAAAGTGTGATATCAAGATCAAGACATCATGTGACCAGACACTGATGTCAAAACAGCTAGTTTGCAAAATGCCTTTGATAAGCATAGCATAATTGTTTACCTAAAGTAAGACAGAAGACCACATCAGTTGCAGTTTGTACATTCATTCATACATTGTTCATACAAGCATCACAAATATAAATATATGTCATGGTTGAGGAATGAGGAATGACTCACTTGTTATGATCAGGGCCCATTACATGATATTTATAGTCAGCATGGATTTTTCGTGTTTGCAGAAACTGGTGTAGCTTGGATTTTGCATTCTCCACTGTCCAGTTACCATGAATACTTGCATTGATGTCCACATCTTCAGCCTAAAAAAAAAATCAGAGTCTTAAAGGAAAATTAAAAAAAAATACAGAAGTTAGACAAGTTTCATTGAACCATACTGAAAAATATAATTATTATTATTATGAAATTCCAAGCCAGTAAAACAAAAGTAATCATTCATTCCTTAACATTGGATCCTTAACATTCAGGATTTCCCAACACATTAGAGCATATACTTTTCTACTTATTCCTCATGAGGGATTTTCTGGAAAGGGCTTTACCATGAAGACTCAGAAAACAGCAGGCCAGTTCCCATACCCCAGCTTGTGTCTTTCAACTGTCACAAATAGTAAGGAGAATGGGTAGAGGGGTAAGGAGAGGACAAAGGGAGAGATTATTTTTATGCAAAGGAATTCTTTTTAATTAAAAGACACATTGACAAGGTAGACAACCTTGGAAATGGAGTAAATGACTGTTGGAATCTTTCTAATTTTTTGTTCATGTAAATGAGTAATTTTCAATTCAATCTGATTATTAAACTATTAAATTTGTACTATTGAATTTGAACTATTAAATTTGCACAACTTGAGTGTCATAAAATAACAAAAATCCCAATAAAGTCTTCATGCTGCTCTTTTCAATCTCAAATTAAATACATACTTGCATGGAAAATTCCAGGGAGAAAAGCCCAATGGTGTAACCAACTATAAGCAAAAACTGCTTCAACGAAGTTTCACCATTAGGTGAATTTTGGGATTTTTCCTTCACTTTTCCTCTTCTTTCTTACTCATTCTTGCCTAATTTGAGGTGAAATAGCTTTGAAGTAGCAGGGTTGCACTTTGCCACCAAACATGACATAACAGCTACATCAATAAGTCAGACCACAGTTAAGTGCTGCATGAGAATGTCAATAACTAGCATTCAAACGAATAAATATAAAATTTAGAAAGCCTAGATGCCTCAATCAAACTAAGAATAATCAATAATATCGTCATAAATAATTTTAAAAAGCAGATTAATGGTGTAAAGAACATTTAGTGATTAGTCAAAAGACAAAACTCAAGCTGAACCATGGCCTTATCTTAATATCCTTTCCAACAAAATGACTGTCATCTATTGCCATCTCTACTTGTATTATTTTGCTTCCTTTTCAAAAGCCCACGTTCAAGGGAAAAATCTTGTCAGAATTTAAAGTGTCATTAATAAAAAAAAAAAGATATAAGCAAAATACCAAAATAGATCATTTCATGTATTCAAGAATGAAAAAGTGTACCCACCTCTTCTACTTTCTTCTGATCTGCCAGCATATCTGCATAAGAACTATGAGGTCCTCTTGGCCCTTCCTGGTAGGGACGATATGCATCTTGGACATTCCAATTCAAACTCTGCTGTGGCTGATGAGCAATTGCATCTCTTGGAGGACCTCCTTCAGTGACTGTTGGTGCTGTCTCACTTGGCTAAATTTCAAGGAAAATTTGTTGAAAGTATCATTAATTGATTACTGAAAATGTCTCACCTCAAAAGTGCTTGTAAGTATCCTTCTTTCATATTTTGGTTTTCTGTATGCTGCATAGGGAAAGCAGGATGGACATTTGTTAAGCATGTACATCAGTGGCAGATTTTACAGGGGGGGCAGATGGGGCAGCTGCCCCCCCTGGCACCCCTGGAACAGAGCTTGGCACCCCCTTGGAGGTAATAATTTCCCCACCTGGTATCACTCGGGTGGGGTTTGGCACCCCTGTGCTGTTGCCCTGCCCCCCAACCCCTCAGCCAAAATGCACCACTGATGTACATGCATTATGCTTGCATGCACTCCAGGAAGCCTCAGTTGAAAATGTAAGGCAATATAAATATAGAACATGAATATGTGCTCTCCTCTGACTTCCCACATTCTCATGAAAATTGCAATTACTCCCTTCATTCTAACAAAATCAGATATATCAGAGAGAGAGAGAGAGAAAAGCAAGCCTCATTCCTATGCCCACCACACTTACATCTCCACCAGGGACCTCTGAGGGACTCAATTTTCCAGCCCGAATGAGGTATTGCAGAAAATCTCGAGCTGCATTGCTCTGAGCATCCTTCTTGTTTGTGGAATTCCCGCAGGCTACATAAGGGTATCCTTCGACACGCAGCTCACAGAGGAATCGTTGCCTGTTCTTGGGACCGGTAGGCCGCACATCGTAACTGGGAACGATTTTTTGTTTCCCCAGCCATGCATATAGGAAGGACTTCACTGCAGATGTTTCTTCGCCCATCTTGTCGAAACTTGAACCTATAGAAAAAGAAACGCATTTTAAAGCTGGATGCTTAGCAGTTCTGAATAGATACACTCCATTCCAAGAAGGGATTCTGGATCTCATCTTGGACTAGTATGGCATCCTGACATTTAATAATAGGGGTTATCCTGTTACGCATAGGCCTAACGTCAAGTCGAATTAATGTCATTTTCGAGTCCGCACTCTATGCCCAAATCTTCCTCTTTTTTTCCTCCCTGAGCTATCTCAGATGAGTATTGGGTGCTTTGCCGCACTGCAAAAGGGAGACACAAAGAAAGCCATCAAGGAACTAACGCAACCCGTGCATTACTGGCGAAATTCTGTTGCGATACAGAAAGAACCACCGGCCTATACAGCTGGGCTCGAAAATGAAGACGAGAAACGAGAGAAATCATACAATGACTGGACACCGGCTGCACAGCAGGCGGCCGCCATCTTGCAGCAAATGTGCTTTATCAGCCTGAGCTGGGTCGTGTGTGGAAAATCTTCGGAGGCCAGCTCACGATCGTAGAATTCGTGGCGATATTATTGCAACGTAAGGCACTAAAGGTGCTTATGTCGACGATTCGGTACCACTTTTGGCTACGTCTCTCCGGAGAATTTAGGGGAGAGGAAGACCGATCACAAAAAAAATTGAAGACGGGTATTAGCAGCTCTCTTACGAAAAGAAACTACGAGATTCCATGATCACACAGAACATAAAATACGAAGCCGGATATATTCAAAACAGGCTCACGCCCACACATCGTCACAGACGAATCGTGTGACCGACGCAACAGCGAATGAAGACTCGATATGAAGGGACGAAAGCACTCGATGCGAACCAACCGGGTCACCCGCTTTCATTTCGGTAGAGTCCTTCTCTCTCTTCCTTTTAGTCTTCCAGAGCGCCATCAAGTCTCTCGAGTTTCCTTTATCTCGAGTCCCGTCAGATTTGGGCAGTCTGGGCTGTTCTTGCGAGTGGGTGGAGGCAAAATTGGAAAAAAAAGGACTATGAAGAAACCGTTTTGTGTAGGAAATTAAATATTGAAGAGAAACCAAATGGAAGTAGAGGGGGGATTGGTACTTGCGTTGGGCACTTGGGTTGAAACGCATCCGGTCCGTCGGTCTGACGACTTTCTCTCGCGAGTTTCATGACTTCACAAAAGTAAAATCGCAAGTTGCTTGCTTTGCAAGTACCACGATTGATCTTGTAAAAATCCAGAAATTTTCCATTATTGGCAACAGCGTCGATATGCACCCTTTCGTTGAGGGTGGAAATTAACTGTGACTTGCACAGTTTGCATGATGTAAAATACACCCTTTTTTAACACGATTTTATTTTCCAAAGCTCCTTAGGCCTGCAAATTTCGTCATTTGACTATCGTCAGGTTTCACGTTAATCAGTGAACATAGACTTGACGCCCCTAATGAATACTTCGAACCTGTTGTTTGGTTGAGACCACGGCACCAGGCCTCAATGAGGTGCCTTAACAGAAGCTCGAGCACCGTCCGATGCATTTTTTTAGTTTGATCTTGCGAAATGCCCTGTTCATGGAGTCGGTTAACTGCGCTCTTCTTACTACTGATTATTGAGTAAAAATCTGGGCATCGCATCGCGGCATCTACTGCTGCTGATAGAGCAACAAACCTCTATCTACGCATGCGGTGGCGGATCCAGGGGGGGGGGGTAAGGCTTTATTGGGGCCAGTGAAGTAGATATCCAAGTTTTTACCCCAGACGAAAGATGAAAATGGCGGTAGGATGGAGAGTGGTGGTAGGTGGGGGGGGGGGGGGGTTGTTAGAACTAGGGAATCCCCCTTCCCCTATGAAAAATTTGTGTATCCACCACTGTATGCATGCGACCCCACCCATGCTTCCCATTTAGTGACACTGACAGGCATATTGGGGGCATATTTGGGGGGGGGGGGGGTTGAGTCTGGGTTGACCGTTGACGCCCCCCCGCCCTCCCCCCAAAAATAAATCTCCCAATATGCCTGTTAGGTCATCACGCAGTGTTGTCGTTACAGTATAGTGTAAGACACCAACCCACATGGTGGGTCATACCATACCCAAAGAGCTGTGGTAGGTCACACCTCATACGATAAGGCAAATTACGCAGCGAAGGGTCCAAAGAAAATAAAGCCAAAGTCGCTTTTCGCAGCGAAAGAGTTAACGACATTCCAATGACGTACGCTGTACATCGAGCAAACGGAGGCTCACGTGCACTAGCTTGACGTACAACGGCCGTCATTAGTGTCTCGAAAGGGTTAACCTTCAGTGCCAATTCGGATGCCCGAGCAGCACTCTACTCCTGGCGAAGGAGCCGACGGACGTGGGGGTGCTGGCCGGGTAGGGGATAGTGCAATTGGTGGTCCGTGAGCTGGAATCAAGTGTCTGTGACCTTGTCTCGCTCGTTTTGATTCGAGAGCGAATCCGTTGGATTCCTACGGAAATTTGATAGCTCGTCCTCCGAGTTTTTGGGATTCCGGAAGTATTTTATGTGACAAAAAAAATTATTAAACTTGACAGCAAAGGCAGATGATGGCGATTTCAGAAGGAACTCGATACTGTGCGAATTTCATTTCGTTTCGGAAGAATCTCAGCGGCAATTCGATGGCTGCGGTGCTTAAGACCATTCGACGCTGCGAAAATCGCCTCGCGACGACGCGATTCCGCTTCAGGACCGATTCGCTTCGAACGGTTGCATTCGCTGGGCCACTGGGGACTTCTCTGAGCTAAAACAACATCGTGAAGCGAGGAAATGATAGGGTATTTCTTTGTTGAGGTGTCTTGTTACCTGCTGATTTACCCCTCAATCTAGTGTGAAAGAGGCATGAAACACGGAAAACCCGACTGGTTCCCAGCCAAACGGAGACACATGGAAACTTGTCAAAAATGAGGCCTTCCCTTCCCCAGACTCCAATCAGAACATCCCAAACAGCTTTAAACGATGAATGACTTTAAAGCCCTTTGACCGGCATGCCCGTCCACTTTTCTCACGGGTTTTCTCCCGTTCAGCACCGTCGCTACGAGTTCAGGTGAGCATGACCCCGACGAGTGGTTCAAGTACTTGGTACTTGGTACTTGGTGCACGCGGAGTCGAAAGCCACTCTTCACCCTTCCATTACTTAGACTTCTTCGGAGGGAAACACTTTTGCTCGTCCGTAATTGATCCTACGGTTGCAATGGACAATTTTCACCACTTGAGTTCCCTAGGATTTTTTTAAAGAAAGCCCAACCAGATTCCTTTAATGATTCTAGTTCCAACAATTAGCACTCAAACTCATTTGCCCAGTTACAATACTGAACTAGCTGTAGAACCAAATTTAACTTAACACAGTTTTCGAGGTTTAAGATCCATCCTAAAGGTTTCAACTAATATTACCACCTTCGCTTTGAAGCAGAAAGGAAGAAAAACGTTATTAACGCCTGACACGGAGCCCTAACTACAACTTGACATCACCGTCTGGCGTAAGAGACTTCAATCCCCGTCAGCCAGGTTGTAACAAAGGCATTTCAGTCGTCATTGACTCCAATGGCATTCGCCATCGACCAGCAGAATGGAGACACGGCACAAGTACAAATCCAGCAGCAATTCATTAATTCCAATGTTTCAAGAAGGTATCGATACAAAAAAAAAAACTGAATACGAATAGAATATTTAGTCCTCCCGGTATACCACTCGATGAATCCACCGAGACTCGCGAAGCATCAATAAGGCTGGTATCGGTGTCTCTCGTGGGAGTAGCCCGAACGCCTCGGCTCGTCGTCTCGCTGCCGGCGGTCGTACCTTCCGTAGTGCTCCCGGGGCCTGTCGTACCTCCCCGGATGATCTTGGGGCCTGTCGTTCCTGCCTCGGCCTCCTCTCGACCAGTCGTAGTTCCTTCGAGGCCTGTTGAACCAGGGGTGGACCAGCGGGGGGGCTTCTCTGGATCGCTGGGTCGCTTCGCGGGTCATCCACGGGTCGTCGGCCGTGTAGCGGTCGCGGGCTTTGTCCTCGAGGAACTTCTCTAGTTTTTCCAATTCTGAATCCGTGTTTGTAGCTTTTTCAGTCGCTTCCGTTTCAGATCTGAGATCTTCTGGACTCTCAGACATCATCGACACGAGGTACAGCACAATTCAATTGGGATGGTTCTATTTTTTTTTCCCCAGTTCTTATTGTTGGCTACCTGTCGTGAGAAGTCAGGAAATCACAGCAGAGACTTTACAGAGAAGTTTTGCGGCTCCGAATACCGTTGTTGCCATTGCAAAGAACACTACAGGTAAAAATCACTGAAACCTTCATAATTTCTCTCTGCAACTATTTCAATATATCTTCCCAATGTCGAAAGTATTAACACGTTGACGACCAGCCTATTTTTGCTTGTCCGCCGCGTGGGACCACGCGCATTTTTTTTTGTCAAAAAATGCGTCCTGCCATCAGGACGCATGGTCCCAGAAAACATTTTTTTTGCCGAGTTTTTTTTTAATGTTGAATTTTTTGGAATTTTTATCAGTAATTACGAAATCATAATCTTCTGGAACGTTCTCAACAGTTCCAGAGGGTATTCATTGAAAAAAAATCTGCATCCTGGCATCAGGACGCATTGTCGCCAACGTGTTAANTCATTGAAAAAAAATCTGCATCCTGGCATCAGGACGCATTGTCGCCAACGTGTTAATAAACGGTAAACTTGCGAGCAATCATGTGGCACTATAATAATAAAGGCAGGCTGAGAAACGCAGAGAATTGGAAGATACAGCACAAACGGAGATAATAAAAAAAAGCAGAACATCCGAAGTCAAATGGGGTGGAGGCAGCAGGAGACCTGCCAACAAGCATTGTGAATGCTTGCTCCCAGACATAATAACCACAATTGGTCCTCTCCAGAGCTCTTCCAACTTGGTCAAGAATGACTTGGTCATTAATTTTTTTTTGTGTTTCAGGTTGTGAAAAAAGCCCAAAGGAAATGCATAAATCATAGATGTTTGTAGATGCTTGAACAAGTAAGAAGACATGTGAAAAGTGCAAGCAGTGGTTTTTTCTCATTTCCAGTAACACGTGGGACCCCCACTCATGCAATCACAAAATGACCAAAACAAACAATGTAGGTAGGACCATTCAATCTGTGGTAGGAATGCTCACTTGGCCATCTTCATTCATGGAAGGCAGTGAGTTCCGGTGTTTCAGGTATCTGGCCCATTGGTCAGGGATGTTCTTCAATTGATTAATCTTCCTCTGTATTTGCTTTGGAGTCAACTGATAGTGATTCTTGGGATCTCTGGCCATCTTCTAGAATTAAGGAAAAATGTTCTCCATAATGAATAAACATAATTAATGAACAAAGAAGAAAGAAAGGTTCTTTCTTCATAAAAGAAAGAACCTGAAAGTCATAACATCTTCCATCACATGGAACATTGAATTCTAAAAGTCTTGAGCAAAGTCAGAAAAGATTCTCACTGACTTACAACAACGACCCAACTGGTGCTACAACACGGCACTCTATAAAACTAAATTCACTGGAAAACAAACAGTAACAGAGTACTGTTACTGACATGACAATTCATGGTATTAACACTGATTCACTTCCATTGATCTCAGCCAACATATGAAATGCAAATAAATCAGATATATCTGATAACCTTTTAAAAACCCTTAAGCTATTAATTTTTAGGTAGATATGTAACTGGTGAACCTGGCTTTTCCCAACCATTTGGCTTTGAAGCCAAGGGCATCAAATCTGTATTGTAACCCATTAGGAATTATTGCTTCCACTTTAATGACATCTGGAATAAGAAATGAACAGTACGGTTCAGTGCATGTTGATATCCAACCCAACAAAAAAGCTTCCAAAAACTAGAGTCTGTTACCTGTGTTTCTTCTCCATATTGATCGAGCAGATCCTGGAGCCATAAGTACTCTGGCTCAGGAAGGAGATATGTCTTCACCTTGGCTCGCTCTGCTTCTTTTCTCTTCAAGTCTAACTCCATGCGTTCAGCAGCTCTCTCCCTGGGCCTTTTCTTCGCCTGCTTTTTTTTAGTTCCATGCTCCACTTCCATGGGTTCAAGGGTCACCTTGAAAAACATGTAAAGACTGCATCAAGTAATGGTTTCAAGGCAATGGAATTTCAGCAATGCTTGCTTCCTAGACATTTCATTATAATTTTCAGTTTGGTTCAAGACCTTGCTATTTCAGTTTCAATAACTGGCTATAAGAATCCTATGCATCTCATAATTATGAATGTGAAAATTTGTTTCTAAAACAGGAAGTCTTATTGTTACAAGCATGAAATCTACATGGTTGCTGACCTTTAATTATGTACACTAATCAGCAGAGAAGTGCTGCTGGTCTGTAAAAGCAAGCACAGTCCATGGGGTGAAATAAAAGTTTGTGTACAGTCCTATTTAGGTAACATTTGATGCACCATATTAAGGCCATACACCGTGGCAACCTGTCAAACAAGGAGCAGCAAGCCCAAGCTCACAGATCTATTAGATATCTGCAAACACACTGATTATGGAGTCCAATTTGTATCCAATTCATAAAACAAATGAACAAAAATATACATATATTTGAAGCACCTAGTTCATTATGGTAAAGAATCAGTGAAGCTGCATTAGCTCCTCATGTTCACCCTTTTGAGAGATGTGAAAGGACAGGAAGGCTCTTATAATGTTAGAGACCAACCACCATGCCACTACAGTGTTTTTCACTTGACTAAGACATCGACAGCAGTGCATGGTGAGGGCAATATAGCGGATGTCCAGTGAAAAAATGTCTAACTTAAGTGAAAAACACTGTAATGAGAAAGTCCTTCAGATGGAGACATCCTTCATCCTGCATGTATAGAACATGCTTTCACAATGAGTTCACCATTAACTATTTTACATACTACTCAACATTCAAAACTAATGGAAAGTTCTGCTCCAGAAAATCACAAGAAAACCTCTGAATCAATCACAAACCCCTCCCTGATACCATAACGTAATAAAAAAATACTATGTCCATATTTTCCATGTCATTCCACTTATTTCTCAATAAAAAGCTGATCACAATTGAGACAAGAATATAAGACAAATCCAAGTCTATTATGCTGCAGAAGAGTCAAAAACTATTTTCAATAGGATACTAACACTATCTGAAAAAGTATTTGCCATTCAATGATGGTGATGACAGAACCTAGTGTATATTACCAAATTCCTAACTCTAAGTTAAAAGTGATGAATTAATTTCTGGATGGTAATCATTTTCCAAGTTTTTATGCACTCATCTCTGGCAAAATAGGAATGTTATGAGGGAGGTAAAAACATTTTATATCAGTCACAGAACTTAGCCAGGGAAGGGCAACCTGAAGCAAAATTCCACTGACCTTTCCTGTTTGAAGAGGAAGGCTGGCATTGACATTGAGAACAAGTCCCATTTCATCATAGTTCTCCTTCAATGACTTGCTTGGATCCCAACTCTTCCTTATTTCCTCACTGACACAGGAGGCAAGAATAAAAGAGACCATGACTCATGCAATTCACCATGATTGACATGCATTGGTATGCTGTTAAACAAGAAAATGTTTCCTAGTCACATAGCACAACCATAAAGAATTTTCTGCATTCTATTAGGTTGTTGCAAAAGTCCTGTTGGTATTGATAACTTTATTTTCTCAACTTTAGAGCTTTGCAACAAGCGAGGCCTAATCGACCACATATTCGCACCCAGAAAAGCGAAGCAGCAAGACCTCGGAGAGTACAACCTCTTCAAATCACTCCATGTCAGTATACGAACCATAACCTTGGGTGCATCTCCTCGCCGCAAGAAGGGTGTAAGCGGAGTCAGAGAGACTGCTTGCCGATCCGCGTGTGGTCTGCTGGCTGTTGCTCTCCAGCTCTGCTTTCAGGGCATCAGAATCCAACTCCGTCGGGCGTCCGGACCGCGGTCTGTCTTCAATGTCGTAGTCTCCAGAAGAGAATTTGGCAAACCCTCGTTCTCCCGTGCGAAGACTTATGATGTCTCCGCCATAAACTGCACACACTCGGCAATGAGCTTCCGTAGCTCCAACGCGAGAGTGGAAGTGGAAGAGAATGCAGTGATGGAGATGGATCTGCGTTGGCGTGAATTTCTCAGAGGCCATGAGAGATGATGGTATGAGTGAGATACAACAGACTGTCCTTATATACCCATACCTACCACCCACTTGCCAGGAAATGTCAAAGCCTGGAAGTCTTATTAGAACATGTCACATTCAACACCGACAGAACTTTTGCAACAACCTAATACAATACTGCTTTCAGCAAAATTCATAGAATGTAATGATGTCGTAGATGAGGGGTCTCAAACTTATTTTGCTGTGCTGGTTGCACCACAAAGATTGGATCTCTCTGCAGGTTAAAGTATAATTTTGTAGAGTGAAAAAGCTACCACAACCTTATATTGTATATATTGATCCAAAAACATTTCTCTCGTTCAGTTTACATAGGCTGCATCAAGAGCGTTTGTGAGCTGCATGTGGCCAGCAGGCTGCAAGTTTAAGATCCCTGGAGGAGATAGTCACACAATTTATGACAAAAAGCTACTTTAATGTTTTAGTACTTACTGTGGACCAACTTTCTGCTTCCTCCTCCTCTTGGCCTTCTTCTTTGCAGATGTTTTGCGAGAGTAGTTGAGATGCTTTTTCTTCTGTCGATTCCTCTTGCTGTTTGCAGGTCTGGCCATAGCTAACTTATTTCAAGCTAATGCCCTTAAGGCAGGTTGCTGAAAGTTTCGCCTGTGCCACTTAAACCTATGCATGGAGAAGAAGAATGTCTTGTACTTTGTAAAAAAAAATACAGTATAATGGATATAGGCCTATCAGAACACTTATGAATAAAGGGAATTATATTATCACAATCCATAAAAACTGCATTACAATCAATCTGGGAGAGTTGAGCAGCTATCAGAAAAGAAACCAAAAATCCAACAGTAGGTATTCTTTCAGCAGCAATTTTTTTTAAAGTAATTACTTTTTTTATGTCAAGGCAATTTTTCTTTGCAGGCCATACAATAGCACATAAATGGCAATTGAAATAATCAATTGTTCTTTGGCATTGGCTAGATAAGAGAATGAGGCTTACCATAATATAGAATTTTTGTTAGACTCTTACTGCTGAATTATCTCAAATGCTATAGCGAGTAGTGATTTGCATGATGTGGGATAAGATTCTGAGACTCTTGATTTTGATTACTCCAAAATAAAAATGTAAAGAATCACTCCTGTGGTGCTGCCATACCACGACAATGCCACAGTACCTAGTATGTCCCAAAATCATAACATCATTAGTGTAGACACCTTTATGTGTGTGTGGACTCAAGAAAAATTCACCACAGAGAGCACAAGGGTCATCATCAAGCTATCATAGTTTGCATCCCTACCATCTGAGATTGGGCTTGGGCCTAAGATTGTAGGCATGAGAATTATGCCAGGTCATTTCTGAGATCATCTACATTTGCACTTAAATTTGTCATGTCTTCAAGAATTGCAAACTCTCCCATATAAAGAAATTACACAATGCACATTAGTCTAACTCATGCCTAGGCCTACTGTATGATAGGCCAAATGGGTCACATAACCTGTGACCTATCAAGAAGCATATTGCTGTGTTTCACATGTTTATTTCTTATTTATGCCTTATACAGACAACAAAACTGTTGAATATGTTAGAGAAAACCTTTGATTTTGGTTGGATTTTCCAGAAACACAATTCTGCATTTCATGCAGGCTCAACATTCTTAGACAAGACAGTCATGTCCCTACAGGTGTTTCCACTGATTCAGTACTATCAGACACATGGATGACTACAGGCACCTAGACTGTTTAAATGTTAAAAGATTTAGTTTCTTTCTCATTCAGATCCTCATTTTCCCTCTGATTTACTTTCTTAAAGCAAGGGGGAGTTGCTTGAGTTGTATTGCTATTGTACATCTTCCAAACACTACATAGGAGGACTTGAGCTTGTTTTTGGCACTACTATCATCGATACCCATTTGGGTATTTATAATTGTGCAAAGGACCTTCATAAGATACCAGATTGCAGGACCCATGGACATTTTGCTCACTAGAATAGCCCATGCTACAGTCATATATCATAGGCCTACTCTTCTTACAGATGAGTTGTTTTGTGGAGGCATATCCATATACCGGCAAGTAACAGCTATATTCTCTCCTCTTTTGCTTTGTTCTCGAAGGAGACTTTCTTGACCCCATCGAAAGCATTCGTTTTCATACCAAGACAGTTTGTCCATCACATAATTTAAAAAACACTCACAGTCCATCCCAGATCAATGATAAAAACGCTCCAACCCCCCCCCCCCCCCGGATATTTAGACTCGAAGGCCGTAACGATGACTAGACCCAGGCTAACACGATGCATCGCACTTCCGAACAAACAAGCGAACCACGTGGGTGACCGAAGCGCCAACTACTGGGAGCGGAGGGCGCGTTACAGTGCGTGGTGGAAGCCGTTCGTAAAAGTGGGTGGTGGCGCCTTGAACGCCTTCACGCCAGCCTACGGGTTTCTGTATAGCTTCGTGGACGCAACAACTATTAACGCTTTCTCCCCAGTAACCTCTTCAGGGATGGACTTTTGGACACGGAACATTTTTTATTATTATAAATTATTACTTCTGTAGAGTACTTACCAACCCTTGCAAGAACAGTGATACCAACTTTAATGAAATCTCCCAATAAATTGGCAACATCAACAGATGGATTAAGGCAAACCGGCTCACAATCAATATTATTTCTTAAAAAAAGCTGACTTTATGGTGATTATAAGTAGGAGAAGCAATAGGTGGAGTAAAACTATCCTTGAATGGGGAAATTCTAAAAGGTCAAATAAAGTATTTGGGGGTAATATTTTGACAGAGGCCATTTTTGAGACAAACAAACACACCAAATCTGCACAAAAATAGCCGTAATTAATGGGGCGATGAGTAATGCACGCCATTTAATCCCATTAGAAACATCTACTTCACACTAATCCATTCCCCAAAATCATTTACTGCATATCAATATGGGACGATACATATCCAAAAGTATTTGCTAAATATGGATTATGAGCTTCGCAGAATGTTGAGACCATGATGAAAATCTCTTTCTATTCCGGAGAATTTTGCCAATGAGAAAATTAATTCATTTCCATCTTTGTCAACTCGTTTTCCAAGAAAGCGTAATTTTTAATGTCAGTATCAATCAGGAAAATTTCAGATACCTAGAACGAAGAAAAAAATTTGCACAACGAAATATGATACAAGGACTACGAATATTTAATGAGGATATAAGGACTGCAAAATCAATTTAAATCTTTACAGTTAAATTATTAAATCATTTTCAAGAAAAGAGTCTACAATAGAAAACAGCACCTTTCCTAATTTGGCTGATTAGGCTGACCAGATTCAAAAGAATAATAAAAAAAAGAAGCAGTGAATTCAATCAAATATTCGATTTTCTTCATCTTTGTTCCTTACCTGCGAACATGTTTAAATATATTCTTCAGAAATTCTAAAATCTGTGGTATTTAAGCAGTTGGGAATCAGTCTTTCACCAATTTAAGATACATTGAATCAAACGTCCACATTTTTTTGCCAGTTTCAGTTAAGAGGTCTTTCGTAAGTTATCTGAGATCGGTGAAGAAATTTCTTGTTTCCCGAGGATTGAGAAACGGAGAGCCACGAAGAGCCCTCATCACAGGGCAAGACCTAAGAAAAAAAAAATTACAACTGCGCAAATGATTATAACCACACGGTATGATGGGTCGGTTATCGAGTGATACTTTACAACTCTTTACGTCGACGCCGCGAACCTTTTTCTGGAATGGAAAATGCACGATCCCTTATCTCTTCACGACCAGAAATGCACCAATGCAGGAATATCAGCTTGGAAAAGTGGAATACGTACTTGTTTTCGTCGTTTGAACCTTTCTTTCATGGCAGATAGGGAAACTGGACTATCTGCCCTTCACTTTATGACGTGCTTGATATCACTCCAAATATGATACATTTTAGTCATAACCATGGTAACAACGTTATCATTGTCACATTCTGTCGAATTGGACCGAACCGAGATACACGAAATCTCCCAGTTTTCCACCTTAACTGCTTTTCCTTTCTCCTAACTCTGTGGTGCAATAATATTCAGTGCCGTAAAGAATAGTGCGTCTCAGGTCACACGCATCAGTCCAATTTCGCTCATCGTCGACGCAGTATTGTCGGCATGTTGTTGTCTTAGGAGAGGTTCATTACTCCTCGAAGGATGGCCCAGAAGAAAATAATTGTGATTGACAAGGACATAGATGATCATAACGGCTTGGCGATGGTGTAGAGGCTCACGAAGTCCAGCCCTGGGTCGACCACGCTGCAGCATTAAGAATAAGTTCTACTGTTTAAGATAAGGACGTTTCCCTAGGAGCGGAGGCAGAGGGGGATGAAGGCGGTTTACAAGAGCACTGACTTCAAGGACACTTCTCAGAGGGAGGTCAGGCTGGAAGGTTTCACCACGATTGGATTCAAGCCGGTTTGGGATTACATCCATGGAACGAGGATGGAGGTGGAAGGGGAGGAAGGGGCATTGGCCACTCTTCGAGATGCTCGTTTTCTCGGGCTCAAGCGCCTCTGCGACAAATTGAGCAAGACCATCCAGGTATTATTGAATGATGATAATGCCTTTCATATCCTCAAAACTGCCGAAGAGTTTGACTTCAAGAACTTGCAGGAAGCTGCCATTAGCTTCATTTCTGCTCGTTTCAACAAGGTCATTCACACGAAGGACTACCTGACTGTCTCTTTCGAGACGCTGACATCATTTCTAGATCGAGACGAATTGGAAGTGTCTTCCGAGATAGAGGTTTATGAGGCGATGAGGACGTGGCTGGATCATGATGGAAGCCGGAAACATTATTTGCCAGATCTCCTCGATAAGATACGGCTTCCTCTACTCCCTTATGAATACCTGAAGGCGATGATCATGAAAGACCCTTCCATTCGGGGAAACACGAGTTGCCTCGACGCTGTGACGCATGCAAGGGACGACCGCATTCTCTGGCGCAAACAACGAAAACATTCCGTCCCCGTTTCGTTTTGGTTTAGTGCGCCTAAAGAAAGTTTGTTCAAAACCACGGACCCCACCTTCTTACACTGGTTCCATATAGCGCCGTCAGACTGAAGAACCCTGAACCTGCTCCAGTGAGTAATGGGTATCAGTGATCGCTCTTTTTGCCGAGCTTTTGCAGGGATCGACAGGAAACTCTTCCTGACGGGGAAAGGTGAGTTGAAGATCTTCGACGTGGACAAGGGGAAATGGGAAGAAGGGCCGCAACCTCCCAAGCACATTGACTTACCAGGGATTGCGGCCTCTCCCGGATCCCTCTTCATCTGTGGGGGAGGGGATCGAAAGGGAAGAAGTAAGAAGTGGGTATTTCGTTTCGAGGTGAAGACTGGCCAGTGGATTCGACTGAGTGACATGAAATACGACCGGGTGGCGGCGGGAGCGTGCCATCACGACTCCTGCCTTTACGTCATTAGTGGGTGCAACAGAGAGGGAGGGTCGAAGAAATTGGAACGTTTGGATCTCCGCACATCCAAATGGGAAGAGTTGGCTGAAATGCCTCAAGGAAGAGAAATGTCTGCTGTCACCTCTCAGGAGGGGGACATAGTTCTGGCAGGTGGGATATCCACCGCTGAAGATAGAAGAGAGGTCATACACATACTACCCTCTCCTTTACGCACCGCCCTCTACGGTTCATACCGCCTTCCTGCTACGCCTGTACCAGAGT